CAGTTAGCATAGATAGTACACAGTGTGTAGTTAGCATAGATAGTACACAGTGTGCAGTTAGCATAGTATTGGGGCAGGTTGGTGTAGATTTCCCTTTCTCTGGAAATGGGGTGACGTTGTGTTTTGCTTCAGGTTGCTACGGCACACTGGGGATGGAATCCGGTGTGATTGCCGACGCTCAGATCACGGCGTCCTCTGTGCTAGAGTGGACTGACCACACCGGGCAAGAGAACAGCTGGAAACCGGAAAAGGCCCGGCTGAGAAAACCTGGACCCCCCTGGGCTGCTTTTGCCACCGACGAGTCACAGTGGTTACAAATAGATCTGAATAAGGAAAAAAAGATAACAGGTGAAGGGACGGCACCGTTTAGAGCCATTCATGGTTGTGAGTGTAGTTGGGAACCTGGTGACAGCGAAGGTTTTCCTAGGAAATCACTGAAAATGTAATGGTATCGTTTTCAGCTTTTTTTCACTAGTGTTAATATTATTGGAGGTGGTTTTCTGTTACACAGCAGGAAAGGGGGTGGTATTTAATTCATATTAACTTTTAAATTTCATAATAATAGACTTCTAAGGTAGTGTTTCAGTAATATGATCGTGAGACACCTAAAATTGCCATCTCGTATAGTCGGTAAGAGAGATTGATGTTCAGGGAGTCCATCTGGACATTTGGAGTGCTACAAGTGACTAAATATTCCACACATGTTCAATAGAAATTTAATTACTAAGGGTAGTCTAGAAATAGGTGGAATAATTGGCTGATGTTCACGTAATTCATTTGAAAGATTTATTTTGCTTTGGTACTTAAATAATACCAGTGAGCACCTTCCCAGGAAGTCATTCTAATTTGGTAGTTGAAATATCTTTCACAAGGATATGAATAACAACAACAACAAAGTCATTGCTGTTCAGTTGATTCTGACTCGTAGGGCGTCTGAGATTGCCAGTCTTGAAGGGCGCACACAGTCTCATCTTTCTCCCAGGGAATAAATAGTCTGTAGGTTTGGGCTGTTGACAGTCCAGTGCCACCAGGGCCCTTGATAATAGCAGCATAAGTTCCAAAAGTGCGATGGCCCTTTCCTAATTTGAGACCACAATTCTGTCTCCGCAAGGCAACAAAACTAAAGATTCAGTAACTGGGTACTGAAGTGCATGAGGACGTACACTTGCATATGAAAATGTGTAGTAAATAAGAATTGTCGAACAGCGCATACCAGGCATGTATGCTCTGATGCTGAACTCTACTCTGTGGGCGCTCATGAAAGCCACTCTTCCTTCCCCAGGCATCCTAACCACCGGGTCCACCATGATAGAGCACAATTACTACGTGTCTGCCTACAGAATTCTGTACAGTGACGATGGGCAAAAATGGACTGTGTACAGGGAACCTGGTGTGGAGCAATATAAGGTAAAATAATCATGACCACAGTATTTTACAAAGCATTTAGAAAACAGGCCTTTCCTAAAAGTCACATGGTTAAAAAAATGTTTGTCATAACTCTGCCCTCTTCTGGTGATTTTAGGTAGTGTTAGTTAACAGCTTGGCCCCGATAGACAATTCTCAGTGGGACCAGGTCCCTATTAGTGGTTTTAAAGGTGAGCATTTTCCTCATTTTTGTCACTGCATTATCACCTGGGTTGTTTTCAACACCGTTTTATTGTCTAAACACAGGTGGTAATTTCTTGTTTTACTTATCTCACGAAATGATGGCGAGCCTAATTGAGTCCCAGTTTGCTGCTCTATAGGCATCTTGGGCTTGGGTGGGCGATGAGGATGGAATAGCGAAAAGGGAACACAGTACGTTATGGGTGTTAGAGAATTGTACGAAAGTGAGCATTGCTTTGTCGTCATGCTCTGCAATCTATCCTTGCAATGTCTAATCTGCTGTTAAGAGCATCTAGTCCATGGGTACTGCAAACGGTTTGTGCAAGGCTGCTGACAGCGTTCTGATCCACACACCTGCACTGCAGAAGAAAGGCCTGGCAATCTACTTCCATAAGGATGAGAGCTAAACTCTCCGAGAGCAGTGCTCTACGGCGGTAAGCCACGGTCTTGCCATGAGGCAGCCATAACAGGTTGCGTTGTTTTGAGCAGGGCTTTTTATCTCAGACACTGTATTTCTTACCTCTGGCTTCAGCTTTGAGCTTCCAGGTGTTTAGTTTTTTAAAACTTTTCCATATCTCTCTTTGACATGCTTTTCTCGATATTCTGGAACATAGTATAATAACTTTTTAATGTCCTAGATTACTATTTCTGTTATCTGTGATCAATCTGAGTATTTTTTGATTGATAGTTACTTATTACACGTTATATTTCACACACCTGGTAAATTTAGCCAGACACTGCCTGTTGGTTGGCGTTGATTTTCAGTATTATTTTGCTCTGTCCTGGCACGCAGTTCAGTGACTTGGTGTCAGCGCACTTTTCCAAGGCCCAGGCTGGCCAGTTTTGATGGGCTAAGCGTGCTCCAGGACAGGGGTGGCGCTTTCCCAGGTTCTTAGTCTGATGCCCCAGGTTCTGGGAGGTTTCTGTTCTCTGGCTGCTGTTGGAATGTCAGCTGACTCCAGCCCTGTGTGAGCTCTGAAGATCGTTGTCCTTACTCCTCTCCAGTGGATTCTTTCTCTAGCTGCAGGGGGTTTTCATCAGGGCAGCCTGACTTAGGGGGAAGCCGCCTACAGATGGCTACACAGTTCCCTCTCAGTGTCGCTCTTTTCTGTTCTCTGCTTCGCCGTGCATGTTCGCGTTGCCCTGCATTCCTGGTGCCTGAGCCCTGTCCCCTTAACTGGGGGGGGGGGGGGGGAGATGGCCACCAGGCTCAGTTTTAGGTCGCCTTCCCTGCGCGGCAGCTTAGGTATCCAGAGACAGTCTTGAGACAGGAGCCAGGTTTGCCTCCTTTGCTCAGAGAGTATTGCCCTGTGCTGCCTATGGTCCAGTATGTGGAAATCACTGTTGTAAACACTTTACCTGGTTTTTCATCTGTTTGAGGCAGGGAGTGGGGTAAATCTATTCTCTGTTGCTTAATTATGGACATGAGCAGAAGTCCTCACATTGAATTATATAAAGTAACCTTCTTTCTCTCTCTAATATTTGCCCACCTGAGTCCTCATCCAGCCCCAGCTCCTCCACACCAATTGTCGCCAGCATTCTGCTGGTGTATTCTTTCTCATGCATTCTTAAGTATGCGCGCGCGCACACACACACACACACACAGAGACAGTGTTTCCTAAAAGCAGGATGAGTGGATGGCCAGACACATGTTGCCCTTGCTATATATTATCATTGAGTATTCCCTGTTTCCATGGGATGTAATATCCAATAAAATCGAGTGTCTTGGGAGTGGGGACTTGGACTTCCATTTCCTTTTTATACCCTCATTGCATGTCTCAGACCTGAGACATTCTCAATACCTGAGGTATTCTCCATAAATGTTGATAGGTTAACCTGTAGCAAATCTTTTCACTCCGTTTTCATAAATCTTTCCCCCCTACCAGGCTTTAAAGAAATAAAATAAAATTGAGCCTGCAATATGGAGTAAGAGTTCAGAGATCATTTCTGTGCCCCGAAATGATGCTTACCCATTGTTCTTGTTCTACTAGTATAATAATGTTTGAAATAAAATTGCCTTCATTTAATTTTAGAGTAATACATGAGGAAACAATCCAAACTTACTAGTTCAAGGAGTATGTAACTGCAAAAGAATCCTTTTGGAAAGTGTGGAATATTAAAATGGTTTTAGAGATTCATACGCTAATGAAGGAGCCCTGGTAGTGTATAGAGGGTTATAGACTGAGCTGCTCACCACAAAGTCAGCATTTTGAAACCATCAACCATTGCTCCCCTGGAGAAAGGTGAGGCTTTCTCCTTCCTAAAAGAGTTCGTCTCAGAAACCTGGAACTGACCCGATGGCAGTGAGTTTGGGGGTGGTCTTTTGTTTTGCTCTTTGAAAAGAATCTAATGCCATGGGAATCAGCTAGGGTAAAACGACCTCTCACTTTAGCTGAGGGCTGGTGCCTACTTAAGATGGATTCTTTAGGAACTACCGGGTGGCTTAGCATGGAGCCCTAGGCTGCAGTCGGAAGAGCCTGGATCCTGTGCATACTCTGTCTCGGGTTGGCTGGGCAGTCCACGTGCCTTTCTTCACCCGTTGTCAGGAAGGTCCAAACATTAAATGAAGATACCGTGTGAATAAGAGCCGTTGATTACTTATTGGAAATAATAGAGGGAGTGAGAGAGCAGCTGAGGATAATATTTCTTCCAAAGGAATACTTACTTATTTTTATTTCGCTTTAATCATTAAAGTAGGTGCAGGACAGGGTTGCAAAGCCACATTTCTGGTTTATTGAATTTTGAAAAATGGAATTATAACACAAGCTGTTTTATGTCGTGTCTCCAGTAGGTGGCAATGTTTATCAGTCATATGGTCGTTAGTCACTGCACCTCCACTCTGTTTTTAGAGAGAAAAGCATGAGAAGCACGTCTTTCCTCTAAAGACCTTTTTTTTGCTCAGTTATACGGTATTTTGAAAAGAAATGCTTATGTTTAAGTCGTTCGTAATTCCACAGGACTAGAGCTATTAATTTATTCATGCGGTAGAAACGGCACTCTGCTGTTTAATTCTTCTTACCCGATCGTCAGCTCAGCACTCTGAGTAAATTCTTAAGGATGCTACGTCACCTTAGTAATTTCCTTTCCTACATGTTTAGTGAGTGCAGCTTCTGAGCGGTTTCCCCAAATTTGCGGTGCATTCACTCACAGATTATTTCTTCCTTCTGTCACCGCTGGCGGAAGATCTGTGTGAGGCCCAGAGGGAGGGCGGGGAGCAGTTTAAATGAAAGGACTTACCCCTGACCTTTGTTGACAGACACTACCAATTTTCTGTTTTTTTAAGATTTTTCAAGGAAACAAAGATTATCACCAGGATGTGCGTAATAACTTTTTGCCACCAATTATCGCACGTTTCATTAGAGTGAACCCCACCCAATGGCAGCAGAAAATTGCTCTGAAAGTGGAACTGCTTGGATGCCAGTATATCCCCAAAGGTAAAGCAGCAGCCGCGTCTGCGGCACGTTCCAGTCACGGGCTGAGTCGAGAATGGTCTGGTTCTCAGAGGGCGCGATTAAGGATAGCGTGAATGCTTCTGTGGTTAAGTGTCAAGTACAGCGGGCGTCTTTAATGGGATTCTTAAATAATTGGGCCGTCTTATGAAAACGTCAATGTCAGCGAGCGGGTTTCCAACAGGACCGGTGACATCAGAGATTGCAGCCCATCATGAGATGCTGTAAAGAGCTTGCGCTCCAGCCCCAGACCCCGTCTGAGATTTTCATGAGTGCTCACATGGTGTTCCTAGGTCACGCAAACTCGGAGGAGGAGAACAGCAATCTTAGTTGACGTCTTTTAATTTGAATAAGTTCAACGGGGAATAATGTCCCTCGATATTACATAATATGTTTGTACTGTGTTCACTCTTGTACCCCCGAAACCCACTGCGGCAGTGGCTGCTCTGCAATGGGCCCTTCGCAGGTATTTATTAAATAACTGAAGAACACATCAGGTTGTGGTGAGACTTTCTGCCACGAGCGGCGGGCACCATCCCACACCGCATTATTATTCTTATTCCCCTTCCTAAAGTTCTTTTAAGACAACTTATTTAGAAGTGAATTGATCGTGTATACATACATAAACATATACACATGTATATACATATTTGTACATTTAATGCAGGATGTCATGTTTCTCTTCATGGTATTTCTCCCTGACATTAGTCTGCCAGACGAAGTGCCCTAGGAAAATTTGAAGGTATTCTAAAGGGCATTTACAATCATGATGTTACCTGCAAAATGCATAAACTTGTGTCAATCTACTTTCCAGGCCGTCCTCCGAGACTTACCCAGCCTCCACCTCCTCGGAACAGCAATGACCTCAAAAATGCCACAGCGCCTCCAGAAATAGCCAAAGGTGTGCCTACTTTAAATGTGAGAATTTGATTTCTCAACTTTATCCTACTCAAGATGATGGAGAGGGAAGACCAAAGGGTTTAAAAAAACTCTTTTTTCCCTCAAGGTCGTGCCCCCAAATTTACTCAACCACTACCCCCTCGAAGTGGCAGTGTATTCCCTGCACTGACAGAGCAAACAACTGCCACTCCTGATATCAGAAACACCACTGTAACGCCCAATGGAACCAAAGGTATGCCAACCCCAAATGCACGCCATTTCAACTATGTTTCTAGCGGGCCCGTGGTTTCTTCTCCTTTGACTGTTGTTGTTGTTAGTTGTTCTTGTGAAGCCAATTCCGACCCACGTTGTCCCTGTGAGACAATAGAAAGAACTGTCCCGTGGGGTTTCCAAGACTGTCAGTCTTTATGGAAGCAGACTGCCTCATCTTCTCCAAGGAGCAGCCAGCGGGTTCAAACCACCAACCTTTTCCTTAGCTCCTATTTCATTTTGTCCACTGCAGTGGAAGACGGGCCACCTCCGCTGTGGCCTGGTTCCTGTTCCATCTATGTAAGAGGTGCCTAATGTGACTGATTCTCCACTTACTTCCCTCAGTCCTCTTCCTCCTCACTTTCACGTTGGTCCTAGTGTGCATGGTCACGAGGTTAGCCTCAGTCGTTGCTGTTGCCCTTCCCCTCGGCTGTAAGCTATCAATGTAGGAGGCTGGGCTGAAGGAAGACCTTCATGGCTCTTTTGAACCCAGCAGACCACTTTCTGCTCCTGGGCCCAGACTCCTTGTCTGGCGGGAGATTCAAGGACTTGATTTCCTGGGTCCTAACAGCTCTAAATGGTATTGGGTTCTGACATGTTCATGCACATCGCAGACACATATTTGCAGTTTGTTTTCTGTGCTTCGATGTTGATTGCTAAGGTTGAGTGTTGGGCTGCCAATGACAAGGTCAGTAGTTTAAACCCACCAACCACTCTTAGAGAAAGGTGAGGTTGTCTGCTCTGGTAAAGATTTATAGCCTCACGGGACAACACTGGAGACACAGTGTGGGAATTGCGCCCGATCTGATCCCGCCACATCGAAGCAAAATACTAAGGGGGTGCAACAGAACAGCAAGGGAACGGAG